AGAGGCAGCCAGGGTTCGTCCGGGCTCGAGGCCTTGCGGGGACCCTTTAATAGCATAATCACCGGTTCCCGAGGCCTCGTAATAAGTGAGGTGTCGAAAGGCCTCGGAAGGCCTCGAAACCCCATGAGTGAGGCCTCGAGAGGCCTTCCTCTCGGAACCTTCATGCCAAACTTTTGTAGTAGATGTGATTACACTAACTCTGGCAAAACGTGGATGTCTTCGACCATTTTCATGTGCAGTGAGGTGTAGCGAGAACATGTGAGCATGTGAACCCAGCAGCATGAAGCAGTTTTGACATGTTTTCTGCACTACGATGATTTTGCGACACGTTTGAAGAGAGTTTTTTTGTACTGTGTACAAGTATCAGCGCATTTGCAAGCGTGGAAGCAGTGCTGCAGCTTGAGGAAGCTGTTTATGTGCTCAGGAAAGTCAGGCGGTTGCCGACGAACTTTCAACTTTGGCTCAAGACGAGCTGAAGAAGAGAAAGAACACGAGAGGCACGCAGCTTACCTGTCTTCTCTGCTGAGAGTGCCAAAGCTTGTCTGTGTCTTCAGGTTAAGAAGTGTTACAATAGGGCGTCCTGCCCTACAAAGCGGAATGACAGCAATGAGTGGGTAGAGAAGCATGCTTGATGAATAGAACACTTGGAGTTTGCGGTGCATGTGCAACATGTTTTTGCCTTGGAAGAGTTTGAACCAGCTACGTTTGTTTTCGAAACACAGAGCAGCCTCACGTTGCCTACCGTCTGCGTCGAGAATGCAGAGCTCAAGCCAAGAACTGCTGGGAAGTTAGGTTAGGCTGAGCCAGTCACTTGAGACACCTTTGTGCTTGGAGCGAAAGTGCTGTGCGAGTCGGCTTAGTGCTGTGTGCGTGTTTGTGTTTTTCTACACTTTTCGAAGAAAAACACAAAAAGACAACAACTGAGAAACGAGGGAGGTGGAATTTGGAGTAAGTTTACTTCTCGACTTCTTCTCGGCTTTTCGAACAATGAACACAAGAAACAAAGAATTTAGACTAACTTCTGCCCCTCTGATTTTCGAAGAATGAACACAAGAAACAAAACACAAGATGAACGAGGGGATATTGACTTTCTACTCTACTTCTCGAACAATGAGCACAAAGAAAATCAAGAAACAACAGGGGCGGAAGTGATCTGATCTAAATTTCACTTCCATCGTTTGTCTTGTTGTTTCTTGTGCAACATCCTCGTTTTTGTTTTTGTTTCTTGTATTTATGTTCGAAAAGCAGAGAATCTGTGGAGAAATTCTTCGAAAATCATAGTAGAGAATTTATCTAAATTCCACCTCGACCTCAAACGGAGAAAACCAAAAAATCTTGCTTCTTCATTGCGGGTCCAGGGTTGTCGGAATTCAGGACTACCTGCTCTGCCCTGATACGGGTGGAATAGTCTATTCTCCTAGAATTTAGAAATTTAGACAATTCTCCAGGAGGTAAACCACCCTGCAAGCACCAGTTCTGGTCTTTCTACGAATCGAATTCCAGAAGCATGTGTCCACTGCTTGGCTTGTCGGGGCTTCTGGGAACTGAGTGCGGGCGCCGCCTCCTGCTTGGAGGGGTAGTCAGTAACCGTAGCAGTAGTTGCAGAAGGGAGTACGTAGTAGCAGTAGCAGTAGCAGTAGCAGTAGCAGTAGCAGTAGCAGTAGCAGTAGCAGTAGCAGTAGCAGTAGCAGTAGCAGTAGCAGTAGCAGTAGCAGTAGCAGTATCAGTAGCAGTAGCAGTAGTAGTAGTAGTAGTAGCGTAGTAGTAGTAGTAGTAGTAGTAGTAGTAGTAGTAGTAGCGTAGTAGTAGTAGTAGTAGTAGTAGTAGTAGTAGTAGTAGTAGTAGTAGTAGTAGTAGTAGTAGTAGTAGTAGTAGTAGTAGTAGTAGTAGTAGTAGTAGTAGTAGTAGTAGTAGTAGTAGTAGTAGTAGTAGTAGTAGTAGTAGTAGTAGTAGTAGTAGTAGTAGTAGTAGTAGTAGTAGTAGTAGTAGTAGTAGTAGTAGTAGTAGTAGTAGTAGTAGTAGTAGTAGTAGTAGTAGTAGTAGTAGTAGTCGTCGTCGTCGTCGTAGTAGTAGTAGTAGTAGTAGTAGTAGTAGTAGTAGTAGTAGTAGTAGTAGTAGTAGTAGTAGTAGTAGTAGTAGTAGTGGTAGTAGTAGTAGTAGTAGTCGTCGTCGTCGTCGTCGTAGTAGTTGTAGTAGTAGTCGTAGTACTAGTAGTAGCAGTAGCAGTAGTGCTAGTTCAGACTGGTTCCTGGGCAGCTTCCGAGTGAAAGGTTTCCCAGTACACATAGCGGGAGAGTGCTTGGCACCCCCATTTGCCGTTAGGCAAAAACAGCAAGTAAGTCGAGAATGAGCAGCTTGGTATGTGAGCAGGGGACGCAGCAGTAAGACGTCTAACGGTTGGCAGAGCGTTGCAAGTTGAGTTCTTACGTTATGCACGCTTGCCAGCAATGTTCAGTGATCTACAGTTGTCAGAAGCAGACATGCGTAATGTCAAAGAACGTGAGCTTTGATGTAAAGTGTTACATTTGCCACGTGCAAAGATAGACAGTCTACAAGAGCTTGAAACAGCATTAGGTTCTGACAGCTTACCTGAAGATCCTCCAGTGATGGAAGGAAGTAAAGGTAACGAGAAGAATTGAAAAAGCGACAAGCTTCAGAAGAAGCGGGGGGAAGGCCAATGCAGCACAGCGTGCTGGAGAAAGCAAGACAGGTGGAAACAAGTGGAACGTTTGGTGCTGTGTCTTTGAGCAGACACGACATAACGCACGAGAGTTCTGCAGTCTTTGGAAAGCTCTTGCCGTGTCTCCAGGCCTCAATGGCAATGTTGGACGCCGAAGAGTTCTGACATGATCGAAGTGTGTTGCAACATTGCCATTGGGGAACAGGAGACTTTGACAAACAGTTCTAAACTTGGAACAAGGTAGGTTCTCCATTGTAGCGTTGCTCAGGACTTCGGAGAGTGCTGAACCCGTGCTGCGTCAGGTAAACCGAATTCGACCCCCAGAATCCGCAAGAAGCATAGACACGTTTGAGTGCCCCCGAAGTATGTATCTTAACAAGCCGCATGGAGAGACCTGGTTTCGGGTCATGTTCCGGCTGCAAGTTTCCCCTGGACCCTCACAGTAGTCCTTTTCCCTATGATTAACTTCCGTCCTTCGCAAATACAAACTGAAGACCTAATCTTTCAGACAATTTTTGAAGCAGTAGGGCCACTGTTCGGGTCCCCTTGTAAAGGTAGTCTTGCCCCTTTCAAAGTTATCTCCCAGCCTGATATCTCCGAAGTTTCCCTGAGAAGCCTCCTTTTCCCCATTTCGAGTACCTTTTTCAGTTAAGAAAAGTTTTAATGTGGGGGGGGGGGGGGGGGCGGGGAAAGGGGCCACTTCCTTGTTATACTAGAGAAAAGCGATGTTTCGTGAATTGGGCTCTCGATGATCACTCAGGTTGACATGGTCTGACAGGATATTTTAAGTGGCTTCAGTTCAATCTGGGAATTGTTCAAACAAAAAGCTCAAGAAGATGTCGCGCTTGGCCGTCTGCCTGGAACGGGGGTTGTTGAAACGAGTAGATGGGTTTTTGCGTGTTTAAACATTCATGGCATCGGAGCAGGGGTAAGTGCTTGTTTTTTTTTGCTTCTTGAGAAACTCCCCATGGCCCTGGTTGGCGGTTGAAGCCGCCAAGCGTTGAACCTGCCAGCTGGTCAGAACCGAGTCTGTGCAAAGCTACGTCGCAGAACGTGGCGGCCCAACAGGCCCAACAACTGCGCATACTCGAAGAGTCAAAACCGCGTAAGCAAAGGACGTTGACTTTGACAAAGCTTGACCGGGCTGTCAGTGTTTTTGAAATTTGAAGATGGGGTTGATGAATCATGCATTTGTGCTGGTACAAGGCTGAAGACTATGGGCACTTCAGCTCTGCTAGTTCAGTCCTTTAGAAGAGCTTTGAACCTACACAAGGTCGTGGGGAACTGGCTCGTCTCCTTACGTCTACTTGGAGGTTCGTGGGTACTTGTATCCCCAAGTTAAACTCATAATATCTTACAACCTGCCCGGGGGACTTCGAGGGCTTGTAAGTATGTACAGCTATAATGAGGGTTATAAGTTATGGGTATCCATGAACCGCGAAGTAGCTTTCCTGTTACAGTTGAGGCACTTAGTTTGACATCCTGCAGTCGTTCACAGGTCACATTTGTTGGCATTTGCAACGATGTTCTGTTTATGCTATGCACACTGTTGCCCAAACCAATTTGACATCTTCAGAAAACGACAGGGCATCGACGAATGCTCCATCCAATAGGGACATTCAAAAGCACGGACATTTAAGGCATTGTTCCTTATTCGAAGGTTGTTCATGTTTCGCTTTCCTCAACACATTGGTCATTGCCAGCACCTGTTCAGTTTGAGACAAGTCCAAATACTCGTCACTTGCACTATGTTTTGCTTCAGACACATCATGGCCCGGTAGTTCCCTGATAAGACCATTAAGCTCCGAACGCCACACCTTGGGGTCGGATTGCTCATCACCAAAGTACTGAACTTTGGAGGACGACCCTGGCAATTGCCAATTTTATTCGGCAAGATTGTGCGAAACCTGTTAGCGGCTTCCGGAGCCTTGAATCCATACATGAGAATGGCTATGACATACGGCCGGTTTGTTATTGTTAAACTCTTGAAACGTACGGACTAGCGAGGGGAACCTTTGCTATGAGACACAACCATGAGGCCTCATCATCAGGCCAGCCAGCTGACTATGAAGCGCGTAAGTGTTGCGTGGCCGGTTATCTTGCCTAGCAATACCGGGTCATGCATGGAGCTTCGCATCCAGTTTGTGTAAGCGTTTGTTTGAATGAAGCGGAATGTATCGCTTGCACGAATCTGCGCAAATACTTGCGGCTTCGGAAAACCTTGCTTGTGGCTGTTTCCTAGTCCGAGCAGTCGCGTATAGCTGCCAAGTTTGAGCCTGCTGCTTCAACGGCACCTTATAGAAAAGACTGTAGAGCAGCCATGGGGATCACCGGCTCGAAGAAAGAGTTCACCAACTTCGACCGCGAATCCAACTACACGATTCTCTTGCTTGGCCAAACAGGCTCTGGCAAGACATCACTGTTGAATCTCATCGCAAATTTCGGAGGTGTTCTGCGCCTCCTCTTCGATAAAGAGCAAATCCTCACCCATGAGGAACTTGCGAGGTTCGGTCAAGCTCGTGTCTCCGACTCGACGCTGGAGAACGCCGTAGATGATCCCATGGCCAGCAAGACATCCGATGCAAAGGTTTACCAAATCACTTTGGCAAGCAACTGGCACTTCACGATCATCGACACGCCCGGCTTCGGTGACTCCAGAGGCGTGGAGGAGGACAAGAAGCATGTGGAGCGAATTATGGCTTGCTTGCAAAAGGTCACCACGATCAACTCCGTCATGCTGGTGATGAACGGGCGCGACTCGCGCATGACAGCAACGATGAACTATGTCATCGCTCAGTTGACTGCCGTCATGCCCAAAGCCGTGCTGGACAACATCGTAGTTGTTTTCACCAACACCGAGAAAAAGTCAAAGCTCAACTTTGACCGAACATGTTTGAAGCAAGTCTTGCAGAAAGACCCCGAGTTCCAGTGCATCGACAACCCTTTCGGACAAGTGAAGTCTTCCATCACAAAGGATGACATTCCTGACGAGGAGGAGCGCGAGGATCTTACAAAAGAGATCCGCAAAGCGTTGAAGACGATGGAGGACCTCGGATGGAAGTTGCATGACTTGAAGCCAGTTCCTTCCAAGCGCTTTGCTGAGTTGAATGAAAAGCGTGAGCGGATTGAAGCTCTTCTGGCAAACAACTTAGAACAGATGGCAGAGCACGATCGTCTCATGTCAGATTTGCAGCAGCATCAAGAGGAGATTCGGACCAAGGGAGTGGTAGTGCCATTGACACGAGAGGTTCGGAGGTGGCAATTGGTTCTGGGCCACTTCGACTCACCCCACTACGTGTGCCGCAGGAAGGAGTGCCACTGCAACTGCGAGCCTGCGAAGGTCATAGCTCCGCTTGCTTCGCTTTGGTGCTTCTTCCACAAACAGCATGAGTGCAGGAAGTGTGGCCACAGCTATGAAGACCACGCCGTGACACGCGCTGGTTGGAAGTCGGAGCTTGTTATCGAGAATGTTGACTTGGGAGATGACAAAGACGAAGCAACAAAGCGCCTTGAGGCACGAATCCAGGCAGCCTCGCAGGAGAAGTGCAGGCTTGCTCAGCAGCTGGACCAGGCTCTCGACGAGTATGCAAGTCTCGGCCTTCGGGATGCATACGTGCACTTACTCCGCAGCCAAATTGCGGTTGTGACTGAGCGCATGGCTGCGAACCCAGACGACGCAACCTTGAGGAGCTTCCAAAACACTTTGGAACAGAACTTGGCAGAGGTTCAGAATGCATCAGATGCCACATGCTGCATTTGCTACGAGAATCTTGCCAACACGGAGCTGAACTGCGGGCATAAGCAGTTTTGCTACGAGTGCAGCAGTGGCCTTGGAACATGCCCCTTGTGTCGGGAGATCGTCACAGCAAGGAAACTCATGTCCCCGACGGTCAGCACAGCAGCCTCAAGCTCGTCCAGCCGGTGCCTTTCATGCGGGCCTGAGGCAGCGGGCCAAACGGGCTAGAATCTCTGCTTCATGTCGGAGTAGAATCCTTATAAGCAGCTCGGCAGTGAACCAGCTGCGTGCCAGCATGCCTGAAATGATCTCGGCATTCCAGCGGCACTTGACACTTTGGAGCTTACAGTGCGAAGACGTTTGAAGGCAAAAACCGTGTGTCTGCAGCGATCTGCATTCCCTCATGCTAGGTTGCCGCGTCTTCATTGCATGTGCCCTTGTTGCCGCATGCGTCAGTCAGTCCCCACCTTCATTCTCAGCAGTTTGAAGTTTGTATGCCTCCGTCCACGGCTACTTCTACCCATCCCACCGATTTCAGACAGCTTGAGATTTCAGGTCAGTAGCCTCATCAGCCGAGCTCTAAACAGCATCAAACCATGAGTCTCAGCAAGAGACCGGCCATGCAGTTTCCAGGCAGGATAGCCGGCGGGAATGCAGGTGCTATGATTGTCGGGCTCCCAGGAGTTCCGGGAATCAAGTTGGACGGGGTTAAGGGGTCTCTGGCTGATGACTGCACAGGTTTATCAACGGTCGGACTGTTGGGGGGTTCGTGTCTTTTGGCCTTGGCGTTGGCAATGACGCGAGGGGGGGGGAGGGGGGGGGAGGGGTTTGGACTTCGAGGCGGGTGGCTTGAAATTGCAAGTTTCCTTTTATCCTTGCGATGGCCTGGCTTGAGGACTTTGGGCCAGGGTGGAGGGGTTTGGTAACATCATGCTTGCTTCCCGGCACGCTGCACGTTTGTCCAAACTGGCAAGAGACTTTGAGGCCAAAAACAAGGTACCCTATCTGGGAGCTACTCTCTTGAAAATGTCTTTAAGGTCTAAACCCTCAACCTCCAAGCCGTAGACCCAAAATCCCTTGGCCTGAGACCCAACACCCCCTCAACATTGGGCATCATGCTATAAGTTGTATTACTCTTGCAGTTCAGGGTACACACCCATAACTTCTTTGCCCTTGCTTTGAGAAGTTTAGATGAGGGGCCCTTACAAGCCCTACACATCCCTTGAAGCCACAAACTCCTTCCTAAACTTTCAAACTGTTCTGCAAGGCCTTTTCACCTGTCACATCGGCGCCGCATCGTTTCGAGTGAAGAGCTCTGCGTCGAGGGTTTCCTTTGTTTAGAGGCGCCCTTTACAACGTTAGGAGCGTCGAAGGTACACGGGCTTAAGGGATGAGCCTCACAATTCCAGCAGCATCCCCTTTCAAGCCCGCATGCACTTTGGATTTGACATCTGTCCAAAAGCGCTGATTCTACTTTGTGCAAAGCCGTCACCGATCCTGCGGGTAAGCTGTGGGTGCACCGGGCTGGGCATCGTTCTCGTGACTTGCCGAGGTGCCCTGAACATCATAGCAACAATGAACCCTAGGCACGAAGCCCTGCACCCTTAACCCTGCATGCTACGTTGGCCCTCTACCGCAGCTCCCCTTTTGCTTCTCAAGCCACTCAGCCCAAACCCTCGTTTTAAAAGCCATGCCACCGAAGGCCAAGGCCAAGGCGAAGGCTAAGGCCTCACCCAAGAAGGTGGCAAAGAGTGGCCTCAAGAGCAACCGGGCTGCCAAGAAGCGTTCTTTAATGGAAGGGTTATATAGGCTTTCGGGTGAAATCTACACCCTAAACCTTACAGCCAAACCCTACGCCCTAAACCCGAAACCTTAAACCCCAAACCCCAAACCCCAAACCCTAAACCCTAAACCCTAAACCCTAAGCCGTAAACCCTAACGCCTAAATCCTAAACCCTAATCCCTAAACCCAAAACCCTACACCCTAAACCCTAAATAGTCGTGGTTGCTCCCAGCAGCCCCAGGCAAAGCGGGGCGCATCGCGGTGGTGCCGGCCTCGGGTCTGGCAGAGAAAGGCCACACCCCTTCCGTTTTTTTGTTTGTTGTTGTGTAGGGCGTCATATGTGATTTTCTTTATTTTTTTTGTGTGTGTGTTTTTTTTTTTGGGGGGGGAGGGTGGGATGCTCCCCCGTTATACTAGCAGCCCTAAACCCTAAACCCTAAACCCTAAACCCTAAACCCTAAACCCTAAACCCTAAACCCTAACCCTAAACCCTAAACCCTAAACCCTAAACATCCCCCCAACTTTTGGGTGCGGCGAGGCCACGTGCTGAAGGATGGCGGGGAGACCTATGACGCAGACTTGAGCTTTGGCGCACTGCGGGGTGTCTATGATGTAGGGGTTTAGGGTGTAGGGTTTAGGGTTTAGGGTTTAGGGTTTCGGGTTTAGGGTGCAGGGTTTGGATGTTGTCCCTTAAACTAACAGTCCACAATAGGGATTATAGGACCCCCTAGCATAGTCCCTATTAAGGACTGTTAGTATAGAACATCCCAAGATGTGGGGGCTTAGGAATTCAGGATTTGGGGACTAAGGTTTAGGGATTTAAGGTGGAGGGTTTAGGGTTTCGTTTTCAAGGGGAGGGTGATGTTTAGGGTTTAGAAGAGTTTGCAGGGTCAGGCTTTGAGTAGGGTCCACAGGGTTTAACATTTTGTGTCGACGGGGTGGAGGGTTTCGAAGGTTTCTTGGGTTCGGGGCATGTTCTTCCCCTTTTCTTATCGTCTACGAGTCTACCCGCGTGCTTTTTTCGATGTTAACTCGGCTATTCTCCTCCGCAACGGAGCATCTCTCAGAGAATTCCCACAACAAAGGCGAAGTTCTCTAAGTTGGGGTCCCTTTTGGAGGGTCCTTCTTTCTAAGGGTGCCGTATTCTATATAGGACCCCACAAGGGACTGTGTGTTAGAGAAGCTCCCCCCCCCAGAGTTATCCCAGAGAGAAGTGGGAAACCAAGGAACCTTGTCGATTCGGCAAAGAACCACGACAAGTTCTACAAGATGCAGGTGGGATCTCCACCTTCTGGGGTGCGCTTCTTGGGATATGCCCCAAACCCCAAACCCCAAACCCTAAACCCTAAACCCCAAACCCTAAACCCCAAACCCTAAACTGGAAAAACAAAGGGTTTCCCATCTGAAAGAGAGCTCCTTTGAGGTGGTCGAGTCCAAGGACAAGGGCAAGTATTGGTTCGTGCAGCATTGGGGCCGGAACGGAACGGCTGGGCAGCTGCAGGTGAAGGGGCCCGTGAGCAAGGACAGCGCGATCAAGCTCCTCCAGCAGAAGTTCCGGCAGAAGTCGGGCGTGAAGTTCGAAGACCGGGGCAAGGGGGGCGCCGCCGCCCCCGGCAGCACGGCCAAGACCGGGAAGTATGAGATGCTGGACCGGCGCCTCAGCAAGGCCAAGGCGGGCCGTGCCAAGGTGAAGGGTGCCGTGGCCATCTCCCTCATGTGGGACAACTCGAAGAAGGGGAGGACCAACGACCTGGACCTGCACGTGACGCCCCCAAGCAAGGAGAAGATCTGGTTCCAGCACAAGAAGTCCAAGTGCAACCCTCTCATCGTTGGGTACCATCTTACTCTTTTAAAGGGTGCTTAAACCCTATAAGGAACAACAACTTAAATCTTCAATACTATCCCAACCATGAACTAGGCAAGGGTGAGCTGGACGTGGACCGCATGCAAGATTGCAAGGAGCCGGTCGAGAACATCGTCTGGAAGAAGAACGCCCCCAAGGGCAAGTACTCCGTCTCCGTGGTCAACTTCAGCGCCAGCCACGCCAACGCCGTGCCCTTCGATGTGGGTATCTGCATCGGCGGAGGCGAGACCCAGATGATCTCAAAAACGGTGAACGGCAAGGCGGGTGCGAAGGTGCTAGTCAAGACGTTCCAGTACAACGGGTAGGGAAGCTCTCCAAGTTTCTGGCTACTGGTAGAGCCAGCAGTGGCACCAGATCGATTTGCTGCGCATAGTCAGTGCTGACCTTTGAATTGCAGGCCGAAAGTTGGCGCGGGGTTTGTCTGCAAGTCACGCCCTAAAGCCTAATCCAGAAACCAGAAACACGCCCTAAACTTTCACAGAAGTCCCGCCCCCAACCAAAAAGTGGGTTCCAGGACAGCTCACATTGTGATTTCCGAAATTGGCGGGGGGGGGGGATGCCTTATTGGGGTCTTTATTATAGGGGAAGCCTCTTATTTGGGCTCTATGTTAGTATTTTCGTACACCCTAAACCCTAAACCCTAAACCCTAAACCCTAAAACCCTAAACCCTAAACCCTAAACCCTAAACGCTAAACCCTAAACCCTAAGCCCTAAACCCCAAACAAACCCTAAACCCTAAACCATAAACCGGGAATATGAACCCCCACATCGGTTTTGTGGGTCACAGCTGAAGCTAAGTGCGGACCAGGCAAAGCCCTAAACCCCAGTACGGGAAGACCCTTTGTTTTAGTCTGGCCGGCTAAGCCCGAAACCCTAAACCCTAAACCCTAAACCCTAAACCGTAAACCGTAAACCCTGCCAAGCGGTTCATGATCTTCCGAGGATGGGCCAACTCGGGTTCAACATGGCCCTGCGACCCTAAACCTACCCCGGGCCTTCTGCTTGTATCTGCCGTGGCAGCTGTTGCAAGCACCTAGGCCATAAACCCTAAACCCCAAACATTAACCCTGAACCCTAAGCCCGAAACCCCAAACCCCAAACCCTAAACCCTAAAACCCTAAAACCCATTTATTTTTACCGCGCTTCTAGCGTGATGGCGGCGACTATTTTGCTCAGGGCCACGTGAGGTTAGGAAATCGGCAGTGTGTGTGACCCTAAACCCTAAACCCTAAACCCTAAACCCTAAACCCTAAACTCTAAACCCTAAACCCTAAACCTTAAAGCCAAAACCCAAAACCCAAAACCCAAGACCCAAAACCCAAAACCCAAAACCGTAAACCTAAACGCAGCAAGAGACCTGGACCTACCTCGTCCCCCAAAAGTCCTTGAGCCCTGAGCCATGGATAGGGCAGAATGCTCGCGGCGACTCCTGCTTTGCTTTTTGGTTGGTTGGGGAGGCCCGGGCACAGGGGGGGGGGGGGGGGGGGGGGGGGGGGGGGGGCGAGGGGGCTTTTGGGTTTGGGTTTTCGGGTGTGCTGGTTCGGGCCAGTTTAGCCCTAGACCCTAAACCCTAAACTAAACCCTAAACCCTAAACCCTGAACCCTGAACCCTAAACTGAGAAGAGCATGACGGACATTGCAACAGCTGAGGCATCTTGTTGGTGTGGATCGCATTTTTCTACGGGAACTGGCCTGTGATTTCCATCGCTGACGCTGACGCTACACCGCTGTTGGGAAGTAGCTAAAGACCGCAAGCCGTAAACCCTAAACCCTAAACCCTAAACCGTAACCCTAAACCCTAAACCCTAAACCCTAAACCCTAAACCCTAAACCCTAAACCCTAAAACCCTAAACCCTAAACCCTAAACCCTAAACCCTAATCCCCAAGCCCCGAACCCCATACCCTCAACCTTAAGCTTGAAAAGCCCAAAGACGCCCCCAACCGCAGCCCCAAAACCAAGGCCTCCAAATCACCCCATCAACCCGAAGCCCGAAGCACAAACAGCCTCAAGGGAACCCTAAGCCCGAAGCCCAAGAAGGTTGACGTGAAGGGGGTTTAGGGTTTAGGGTTTAGGATTTAGGGTTTAGGGTTTAGGGGGGTCAGTGGCCTCGAAGGTGCAGCATGTAGGACTTGAGGGCTTTAGGTTTCTAGATTTTAGGATTTAGGGTGTGGGAGAGTGGGAAAAACTTTCCGAAGCGGAAGTTGAGGGTTTCGGGTTTGGGTTTGGAGTTTGGGGATCAGTGGCCCCTTTGCTTTTGCTAGGTAAACCGACCTTCAAGAACTCTTATTTGCTACCGAATCCTTGAAACCCTAAACCCTAAGCCCTAAACCCAACAACCCCAAATCTCAGGATGTGTGTCCAATCGGATCGAGCCTGGGTGGAGAGGACACCTGCCAGGACCTCAGCGTCTGTCGCGGAAGAGAGGAACCCGATATCCTGAAGCCTCACGCGGCTGAAACCACCCACGCCCCGAAAACTCTAGAGTGGCCTGGGGCTGAGAGGTTTGGGGTTTAGGGTTTAGGGTTTATGGCTCTTGCGAAGTAGGGTTTAAGGTTCTAGCAGCAAAAGCCGAGGCAATGCCACTCGCCGGGAAGGCCAATGCTATGGCGGCACGCTGGAGAGCCCCTGCCGATGTGCCGAGGGCTACCAGCCGCGTGTCACCAGGCCCTGCAGAGACCTGAGCCTTACTGCAAGGTTTAGGTTGAGGGTTCAGGGTTTAGGGTTTAGGGTTTAAGGTGTAGGGCTTCGGGTTTAGGTTTTTGGACCTAGGATTTCGGGCCGAAGGCTTAGTTGTGACATCCGAGGTGTGGGTGTTGCCTTGCTTCCAGACCAGAAACCCCCCTGCAAGCTTCATAAACCCCCCTGCAAGTCACTGAAGCACCCCGAACAGTCCTGAAGTTCAAGCCTGGAAGTAGCCCTAAACCCTACAGCCCTCGAGAGCCCTCAACCGTGAACCCTAAGGCATCCAGCCATCTGCACCATCTGAGCTGTACACCGAAACCCAAAACCCAAAACCCAAAACCCTAAACCCCAAACCCTAAACCCTAAACCCTAAACCCTAAACCCTAAACCCTAAACCCGAAACCCTAAACCCCAGCGACTTCTGGGGACCTGCCAGGTTCACCTTATCCTGGGAGGCCTACCACTTCCGATGCTGCTCGAGCAGCGGGGGTGAAGGCGTGGAACCCGAAGCCCCAAACCCTAAACCCTAAACGCTAACCGCGAACCGCTAAACCCTAAACCCTAAACCCTAAACCCTAAACCCCAAACCCAAAACCCCAAACCCAAAACCCTAAACTGCAAACCCTAAACTGCACTACCTAAACCATTTTTTGGGCTCATGGGTTTGGGCTTTAGGGTTTGGCGTGTCAGGGACTTGGGGTTCAGGGCCTTGGGGCTGGTGGTTTAGGCTAGACCTGCATGTTCATGATTCGGGTTTAGGGTTTAGGGTTTAGGGTTTCGGGTTTAGGGTTTAGGGTTTAGATTTTGGCGTTTAGGCTTCAGGGTTCTATGTGCCTTACTTGGGTTATAAGGCGGTTGCGCTGTGTAAATTCCTTCTAACAAGCATTCAAAACGACATGCGCTAGATCCAACATCAGCTGCCCGCAGCCCCACGCTAAACCCTAAACCCTAAACCCTAAACCCTAAACCCCAAACCCTAAACCCTAAACCCCAAACCCCAAACCCTAAACCCCAAACCCCAAACCCAAAAACCCTAAAACCCCTCATACGTTCCCCCCTGAGCAGGCCCGGTCGCCTGCGGCGACCCATCCCTTCTGGCAGTCCTCGCTCCCCTCTGCCTGGGAGCCGGGGTCGTCGGATGTATCGCCACCGGGTGGCAAGAAACCCCCCCCAAGCCCCAGACGCGGTTTAGGCTTTAGGGCTTAGGGTTTAGGGCTTAGGGCTTAGGGCTTAGGGCTTAGGGTTTAGGGTTTAGGGTTTGGGGTTTTAGGGTTAAAAGGGTTTAGGGTTTTATCGGGTTTAGGGTTTTAGGGTTCAGGGTTTATAAGGTTTACAGGCTTTATCCTGAACCCCGAATCCTGCAACCCCTGCACCCGAAACCCTAAGCCCTAAACCCTAACCCTAAACCCGAAACCCGAAACCCTAAAACCCTAAACCCTAAACCCGAAACCCTAAGCCCCACAACCTTCAGCCCCTCGGGCCGCCTGAGCCCCAAAAACCCTCAAGCCCCAAAGCCGCGAAAGCGTACGAAGACTCGAACCCCCCCCCCCCCCCCCAATGCCTGAAACCCTAAACCCTAAACCCTAAGCCCAAAACCCTAAACCCTAAACCCTAAATCCTAAACCCTAAACCCTAAACCCTAAACCCTAAACCCTCAAGACAAAATAAATAGAAATTGTATGTGGTACCAATCTGAATTTTCAAAGATATTTGTCTAAACAGCTGACAAACAGAGTTTAAGTAAATTAATCCAAAGCGGGAGGCCGGGAGGCCCCAGCCCCCAGCCCCCAGCCCCAGCCCCAGCCCCAGCCCCAGCCCGCCCCCAGCCCCAAAAATGAAAAGGTGGTTTCAAAAAAAAAACGTTTCGGTCAAAACGTTTCGGTCAAAACGTTTCGGTCAAAACTTTCGCTCAAAACGTTTCGGTCAAAACTTTCGCTCAAAACGTTATTGGGACCCAAACCCTATACAATTTCTATAAACCCTAAACCCCAAACCCTAACCCTAAACCCTACAAAGTAAACCCTACAGCCCCCCCCCCCCCCGTAAAAGACAAATAGAACGAAAGCAAAGAAACAACAAAAGAAAGGAATACTAAGAAACAGCCCAGCCCCAAACCCTAAGCCCTGAACGCTAAGCCCGAACTAAGGCCTGGAGCCTAAACCCCAAACCCCAAACCCTAATCCAAATCCTAAACCCTAAATCCTAAACCCCAAACCCCAAACCCCCAAAAGCAGCTTAGGCTTGCATCTACCTCATCAACTGTGCCAAGCCGATCGTGGAAGGGTCCAGGCCCACACGTCCTTTCGAGTGTTTGGGGGCCTCAGCCCTAAACCACAAACCCTAAACCCTGAACCCTAAACCCTAAACCCGAAACCCGAAACCCTAAACCCTGAAGCCAAAGCCTTCGGAGTCAGGAAAGCCTGAAGAACACCAAAATGAGCCCCGTCACCGCTCACCCCTGCAACCAGAAGGCCCGAAGATTCGGCTGCGGCATCTCCCGTGCCACGGGATGGGGCCAAGCTCCACGACAGCGTCGAGATGAGGATCGGGCTTGGGGGTTTAAGGGTGGCAGGCGCTTCGGGGTTAGGATTTAGGGTTCAGGGTTTAGGCAAAATTTTGGGGCTTTGGGTGTGGGGTTGAGGAATTGGGGATTTGGGAGTAGGCTTGAGGGGTTTGGGGGTTTAGGGTGTAGGGTCGAGGGTTTAAGGCCGGGTAGCTTCCAGCAAAGCACTGCCGCGTTCAGGAGATGGGCCGTGACTCTGAGCGACCTCCAACAATTTCGGCGGCTTGTTCTTCAAGCGGTCCGTGATGGCCGGATCAAGCCTACCGACCGCGACCCCTTCGACCCCTCCGACTTTGTCAAGGGCCCGTCCATGTATACCGTGACGGAGCAGAATCTCGGTCGCCCTCACTTCCGAAAACCTCACGAACCCTAAATCGCGAGAGCGGGGGACACGGTACCAAGAGCTGACTAGCCGAGGTACATCAAGCCTGTCACCGAAGCTGCTGGAAAGATGAGCCGTGCAATGCACGCAGCAGACATCTTTTGGGCCCACGCCGTTTCACATCCTTCTGGGCTTGGGTGCTTGTTGGTTTGTTGGGGTTTAGGGGTTCGGGTTCAGTCTAAAGGTTCATGACATCGGGGTGTCTCAAGGAGTTGGGCGCTGATGAAGCATCCGGACGGGATTGACTGCGACCTCTTCATCACCCATGGCTGGGCGGAGGGCGTCTTTGAGTTCGCAGACAAGGCTGCCGGTCCTACTGAACCGGAAACCCTAAACCCTAAACCCTAAACCCTGAACCGTAGACCCTAAACCCAAAACTCTAAACCCTAAACCCTACACACCTCAGCCCCAACAGCTGATGCATGACATCCTGGAGAGGGGTGTCGACCCTTCCTTTAAGCCTCAACCCACCCCAAACCCCAGGTCACGTATTGCTGGCCTCGGGGCGCCACGGCCGCCTATGTCTGCTTCCTGTCGAACCCCCAGCAGCTGGGTTCAGCTAACACCACCCGAAGCCCTAAACCACCCTAAGCCCCAAACCTTAAACTTTCGACCCTGCAAAGCCCACAGCCCGCAACCCCAAACCCTAGACCCTAGACCCTAGACCCTAGACCCTAGACCCTAGACCCTAGACCCTAGACCCTAAACCCTAAACCCTAAACCCTAAGCCCTGAACCCTGAACCCTGAACCCTGAACCCTGAACCCTAAACCCTAAACCCTAGACCCTAAACCCTAAACCCTACCCCCCCTTAGCAGCCCCCCAGCTTTTTCTCAAGGAACCTGGACATCGGCCACCTCATCGCTTCTCCCGAGGAGTCCCCGTTCGCGCGGGCGCTCACGGCCTCGCAGCAGATGCTGGTGGTCCCGAACCATCAGGCTGTTTAGGGTTTAGGGTTTAGGGTTTAGGGTTTAGGGTTTAGGGTTTAGGGTTTTGGGGGGTTGTCCCGAACCATCAGGCGGGTTTCGGTTGGGATGTTCCCCGTTTTCGGCTTGTCTGGATTAAAGTAGCCCCCCGTTAGAATCCCTATTGATGACTGTTTGTATAAGGGGGAACATCCCAATTTTTCGGGTTTAGGAGTTCAGGGTTTGGGGGTTCGGGGGGTTCAGGGGTTGGTGGTCAGGGGTTGAGGGTGCTTTGATTTGGGGGGGCTTAAGCGTTCAAGGCTTTCGGGTGTTAACGGGTTTTTGAAGGCTTTCGGGTTTTTGGGTTTGGGGCTTTAGGCCGGTTTTGGCTAGTCTAGGACTTCAGGTTCAGTACTAGAAGCGCAGTCTTGGCTGCTCCAAGTCACAATGTCCTTACAGTAGGGCTTTGAAGGGCGATGATGGAGTACCCGCCAGTACCTGTACTGAGCTTCCGTAAGCTTCCCTTCGTACACCCCCCCGCCTTCCACCCCCCCCCCTTCCACCTTCCCCTTCGACCCCCCGCACCCCCCTGAAGGTCCTGCTAAGCAAGAGTCGAGAGGCACTCATTGCCTCACAGTAACACCAGACCCCCGAAACGCGAGCTTCACGCTGCAGGTCCCTACAAAGAACCAAGAGTTTCTTCATGAGCTCAAAGAATTTTTTAACGTTAAAAAACCCTAAAAACCCTAAATGGGTTGTTTAACGTTAAAATACCCTAGATGTGTGGTTTTTTGCAACATACTGCTGGGGGATGTGCCTGGCGGATCCTGGCGGTGCATGGGGTTTGGGGGTCTCAGCCTTGGCAAAAGTACCCAGACGTCGCCCAAAAGACCCCCCACCCTGAACCCTAAACCCTAAACCCTAAACCCTAAACCCTAAACCCTAAACCCTAAACCCTAAACCCTAAATCCTAAATCCTAAACCCTAACAACCGAAAGGCCAGCATCTATACCAGAATCTGGTGTGTCTACGAAGCATTCTTGGCCTACACGCTCAAGAAGCCCATTCGCACGGCACTGTCGCCGGTCCTCCATTTCTGGCCGCGTGTGCTGCGCGTCTTCTTCGCGTGCGTGGCCGCCCATGGTCTTGGGTTCCTGGGAAGAAACCCTAAACCCTACACCCTACACCCGACACCCTAAACCCTAAACCCTAAACCCTAAACCCTAAACCCTAAACCCTAAACCCTAAACCCTAAACCCTAAACCCTAAACCCCAAACCCTACACCCTAAACTCTAAACCCAAACCCTAAAACCTAAACCCTAAACCCTCAGGTGCCTCTATGGTTAAGGCTTTGTACAGGTTGGTTTTGCTGCTCACACTCCAAAATCTGAACCGTTCATGTATATGCATCCATATAGTTCTTCTCGTGCCAAGCTGAAGCCCCCCCAAAAAACGGGCTTCAGGTAGTTCTTTAGGGTTCTTCACGCGAGGAGCCCTTTGCAGGCAAAAATCTGGCCCGAGTTGCGGAGCGCATGCGCTTCTGGGTAGGTTTTGTGCCCCCGCCCAAACCCTAAACCTTGAACCCGAAACCCTAAACCCTAAACCCTAAACCCTAAACCCAACCACGAAACCCAAGCCCCACCCTAAACCCTGAACCCTGCACCCTAAAACCCTCCCTCCCCCTCCCCGCTCCCCCGGATGCCGCCCATGAAGCTCCGGCGTTCAAACCTGGCCGAACACCATGCGTGCACTTTTCAGCAGCGCCTCGGCTGTGAGGATTTGGAGGATGAGCCGGCTCATCGCAAGCGATCCAAGATTTTTGGGTATAGGGTTTAGGGTTTAGGGTTTAGGGTTTGGGGTTTAGGGTTTAGGGTTTAGGAGTTAGGGTTTAGGGTTTAGGTTTTAGGCTTTATAGATCGAAACCACCTGGGTTTCTTCTGTTTTTTTTTTTGACGTCGTGATGTTCCCTCTCCAGGATAGACGGTGCACTCTCTGATGGTCGATCCCGTCAACGGCATCCTAAACCCCAAACCCTAAACCCTGCCTGCCTGGGACTCTCTTTACCTACAGTGTTATGGGGAATACTTGCGAAAAGGGTAGTTACTTTTACACTGTAGGCAAATAGATTCCCCGGTAGACCGGAAACCCTAGTAATACTCTAAAGCCACATTATACCTTCAACCCGAAACCCTAAACCCCAAACCCTAAAGGCCCTAAACCCTAATTCTACCCTAGACCGAAGCACACAAAGCAAGGTTCCGAGATTTCCGGGCGCAGCAGTTTCGCTGTGATGTCACGCTCCAGAGCCGCGACGGGCAACAGCACCATGGGCACGTCGTTGTCCTGCTGCTTTGTATGAACTGTTCAGGAACCCCTCCAAAAGCAAAGAATATTTCTTCCCTGTAAGGGTAATGTAGGGATTATTGTTTCTGTTTTTTTGGTGTGCGGGGGTTCTTAAGCAAATAGTAGGTTGGGTTTGCGTTATAAAGCTCTTGTGCTGCAGTCGAAACAGTGACAGTGAGGAGTTGGTGGCTTCTCGGGGTCTAGTTTTAGGTTTAGGGTTTAGGGATTAGGGGTTTTTGGTGCCAAAGGGGGTGGCTTCTGAATGCCAGTACAGGACCAAGCAGGGAGTTCGCGGGTTGCACGACTATTGATTTCAGTCATGGAACTTGCCGAGTCACCACAGAAATCAGAAGCAACCAGGTTATCTTTGGTTTCAGCCTTTGTATCTAGGATCTCAGATGGGGTTGTTTGTGGTGTCGTCCAAGAGTCCCCTGCTGCAATCCGACGACATGCTGCTTTGTCACGCCCAAGCCCTAAACCCTAAACCCTAAACCCCAAACCCCAAACCCCAAACCCCAAACCCCAAACCCCAAACCCCAAACCCCAAACCCCAAACCCCAAACCCCCTAAACCCTAAACCCTAAACCCTAAACCCTAAGCCCAGGTCAGCTGCAAGCCCGGTGCTGAAAACCATGCTCTGCGGGGACTTTCAGGAGTCAGCGCAGGTGAAATCCGGAGACCCGGTGAGAATCGACGCTTCCAGCTGCGTTGTTGCAGCTTTGTTGGATCTTCGGAAGCAAACGAGGCAGCTTCTGATTGTAAGAAGCTACTGAGTTAGAAGACACCCTAATCCGTAAATAACTTTGAAGCCTGCATGTCTAGATATGCATGGCTTTTCCTCAGCGATGCGGCGGTGCCTGAGGATTACATCTACGGGGGAGAACCAGAAGTCGAGAATATTGAGGATCAACTCGAGTTGTTCCCTTCCTGACTGGCAAGTTGTGTTGTTGAAAGCCTATTTGGGTTGTCAAGCCGGGTGCGCCCTGGAGGCATGTTGAGTTTAAGCAGCAAGACGTCTAATTCTGCTCGTTTCACACATCTGAATCAAGCTAAGGTTGAAGCTCGCTGTCGCCTACGGTTGGTCCATGCTTACAGCCGAGCTTGCGTCAGCATGGCGAGCATCGTTGGACGGCGCGAGCGCGCTGAAGCTGCTGCCCCAGATTTGGTCTTTCGACGAACTTGATGATCTCACCTTGTTGTGCGAAGAGCATCTTCTCCACAACTTCTCGGAATGCACTGAGATCGAAGATTTTGTTCATTTGACGCACGAGCAGCTAGGGAGACTCCTGCAAAGTAGTGACCTGAAGGTGACAAGGGAGGAGGCTGTGCTGCAAGGGGTTCTCAGATGGGTGAACGCTTCACCAGGAGACAGAACAGCTTTCTTTGGAATGCTTTTGCAACAGGTGGATTGTCCGTCATTATCCATGAACAGTTTGGAGCAGCTACGTCTTTGGGCCCAATCTGCTGGCACGGTCGGTCCTGGCTTGAGCAAGTCAGTCAAGAGCGCCATGCAACTCCACCGAAAGCGGACGTCGGGTGGCTTGCCAGAGAAGCATTCTCCAAAGAGGAGATGTCTGAAGCATTGGTGTCCGGATTTGGGTGCCGATAGCGAGCGCAGTTGCCAGGCCGTCACTCCACCTGTGCACAGTCCGAGCTTTTGCTGGCATGATGGAGCTTTCTACATTGCAGACTTTTACAATGACCGGATTCTTCGTTGTAGACCAGGCGACAGGCAGAGCCAGATTGTAGCCGGTTCAGGAGCTCCCATCACTGGTTACAACGAGGTGCGTTCACCTTGTATGATTGCAGTGTCCCCCACCGGAGATCTCTTTGTTATAAACTCTCTCACAGAAGGCAAATTGCTCAAGTTCGCAAATAGCTTTGGACAAATCTTGCTCGAGGTTCCAAACCCTTCTGGTTTATGTTGTTCTCCAAATGGAGTACTTTACGTTGCTGATGCTGGTGGGACTAGAATCCAGCGACTGGAAGGTTCAGCGTTGACGCCAGTGATCGACAGCCATGATCTTCCTGTTGATCAATGTTTCCAAGCGACGGGCATGTTTGCCACCAAGGATGAGGATATTTATTTTTGTGATGAGCGAGACAAACACATTCTGCGATTTCGCCCGGGCAGTGCTGCCCCGGTCGTCGTAGGAGACTTTCAGCACGAAGGGCACGTTGCCTTGGTTGGCCTGCATGTGACTGAGCAAGGAAAGATCTACGTCACAGACGTATCTGGAAAACGTATTCTTGCATTGAATACAGGGGAGAGCACGGCCGTGACATTGGAACTGGGGCTTCCTGCTGAGGTTGTGCCAGTTGGGGTCATCGAGCATGACAACTCCCTCTACATCCTGCACTATGACATACTCACTAGCGAGGACGAGGATTCAAACAGGCAGCCGCTGCGGCAGCCCATTTACCGATGCCCCCTACCAGAAGCACTTGTGCTGGACAGTTCCTCAGCAGCTTCACGCAGCCAGCATGCCGAAGGCCTCTGATTCTGCATCGCCAGCAGATCAGCCGCAACGCGAAGAGGAAAAGTCTGCTCGACATTGTACGGGGTCAGAGGTCATGAGGCCCGAGCCGTTCTTCTTCTTTGTCATGGTGATGGTCCCCAGCAGCAGCATCTTTTTTACATCTCGGAAACAACGCCGTGCCCACAGGCATGCAGAAGGCCGTCTGTGCTGAGAGCTACTTCTGCGGTAAAGAAGGCAAGTTCTGGCATATGTGACTGAGGAGGTTCTGTTCTGGTGTCTTTCGGATCTGAGACAAGAGCGTGGATGCTGTCTGTCGCAGCAGTGTAGAAGCAAGTGTCCACTGGTAAGGCTTTGCTGGGTGCACCAAAGCATCGGGTGCCACTACTCAGACAAAAACCGTGGGTTTAGGGTTTAGGGTTTAGGGTTTAAGGTTTAGGGTTTAGGGACCTTAAGGGTCCATGTACCCAAGTCAGGGAGTACATGTTGCGGGCGACATGCTTGGTGTTAGGCACCAGAGAGTCCGCTGGGAAGAGGCATCTTCGATTCGAGAGTCGATCTGGATTCAGCGATCATCTCGTCTTTAGGGTTTTTAGGGTTGCATCTTTTGGGATTAGGGTTTAGGGTTTAGGGTTTGGGGTTTAGGGTTTAGGGTTTAGGTTTTTTGAAGTTTTTTCGGGTCAGGGTGTAGGACATTGTATGTCGGGGTTCTTTGGGTTTTGGGGTTTGGGCCTTGGCTTCTCTTCCATGGGATCGGGCCGTTGAGCTTCTACCTCCTACACCCTAAGGATTTCGGGTTTAGGGGTTTAGAGTGTAGGGTTGAGAGGTTCACTGTTTTGGGGTTTAAGGATGAGGGGTCTTGGATTTATGATTACCCTAACCCCTAAAACCGTAAACCCTAAACCCTAAACCCTAAACCCTAAACCCTAAACGCCAAGTTTCTTCGTGGCCGCCGCCGCACCTGCGGCGAGCCGTGCGGAGTCTCGCCTGGCCGAGGTGTGCCGAAGTTGGGGGTAGGGTTTAGGGTTTAGGGTTAGGGTTTAGGGTTTAGGGTTTAGGGTTTTGGGTTTTGGGTTTAGGGTTTAGGGTTTAGGGCTTAGGGTTCAGGGTTTAGGGTTCAGGGCTTAGGGTTTGGGGTTTAGGGTTTAGGGCTTAGGGTTTTGGGTTTAGGGTTTAGGGTTTCGGGTTTTGGGGTTTAGGGTGTTGGGGAATTCAGGTACCCCATATCCCCTGCAAAACTGTTTAAAGGAGTATGTAGAGCACCGAATCCCCTCCAAGTCTCGGGGGTTGTGCGTTTCCGGACTTGCGAATCTGGTCAGCCCTAAACCCTAAACCTCTTAACCCCTTATCCCCTTGGTCGGTGATAGGTGTTTGTGTTAAGGAACCCTAGTCTATGGTGTAGAAAACGCCCTTGGAGGCTGCGGCTGGGGTTCTCATGGTTCTTACATCCCTTTGCATGATCGCCTTCTTCAAGACGAGACGGCCGGAGAGCAAGGTGCTGGAGGTCGCGATGCTTTCTCCGCCTTTCAGAATAGGGTGCAGAGTTTTAAGGTTAGGGTTCAGGGCTTGAAGTTGAGGGAGTTTGGTGTTTAGGCTTCATGGCCGCCGGAGCTGAAGCCAAGGATCTATGTGTATGGCGCGGCGCTGGCATCGTTCTTCATTTCCAGAGCGTACGGGCGGGGTTTCAAGAGGGACAGCAGCGTGGTGTACTTTGTCCTGTCGCCTTTCATCGTGGCCGGACTGGAGACCTTGCTGAACCATCTTGGCTTAGGGATGTTTAGGGTTTAGGGTTTAGGGAGTTTAGGGGTGCTGAACCATCTTGGCTTAGGGATGTTTAGGGTTTAGGGAGTTTAGGGAGTTTAGGGTTTAGGGTTTAGGGTTTAGGGAGTTTAGGGGTTCACTTTTTGGGGTTCTGAAGCCCCTCCGCATCTCGGTGGGGTTTGCTGGGCCTCTCCCAAACCCCAAACTCCCAAACTCTGAACCCTAAACCCTAAACCCTAAACCCTAAACCCTAAACCCTAAACCCTAAACCCTAAGCGCAGAAACTCGCTGTAAGGAAACAGACCGGCTCTTGGCAAAGGCGTTGCTGAAGCAGTCGAGGCAGCTCAAGGCAGGGAATTCACACATGTGGGGTTGTCGGGGTTGTCGGGGTTGTAGGGTTTAGGGTTCAGGGTTTAGGGTTTAGTGTTATAGGGGTTATAGGGGTTCTAGGGTGTAGCGTTTCTGGTTTAGGGTTATCGGGATTTAGGGTTACAGGGTTGTAGGGTGGTAGGGCTTCAGGGTATGGGGATTCTAGGGTTTTTTGGGGTTGAGGGTTTGTATCCTGATGAATGAGTAACTGAGCATATCAGGTTTCACTGCACTAAACCCTAAACCCTAAACCCTAAACCCTAAACCCTAAACCCTAAACCCTAAACCCTAAACCCTAAACCCTACACCCTAAACCCTAAACCCTAAACCCTAAACCCTAAACCCTAAACCCTAAACCCTAAACCCTAAACCCTAAACCCTAAACCCTGAACCTCAGGCTGGCTTTCAAGGCATCCGCAACGCTCAGAGCTCCAACCCTGCCGACCGCGAGCGGATCCAGAACGAAATCGAAGCGACAGGCAGGTCTAGCGGGGTTAACATTAGGGTTTAGGGTTTAGGGTTTAGGGTTTAGGGTTTAGGGTTATTTAGAACAGGGTTGTGGGGGCTACTCTAGTATATTTTTTTCGAGGGACCACAGGGGCATAATATTCGTAATTATTCCGTTATCTTTTTTTAGGGGGTTTTGGGGGGGTTTTAGGGGGATGTATCGGTTTTAGGATTCAGGGTGTAGGGGTCTTCACCTGAGGCCCTGAAGCCCTTGAAGGTCCTGCAGCCCTGTCGGGCTAAGGCCTTAGGGTTTAGGGTTTAGGGTTTCGGGTTTGGGGTTTAGGGTTTAGGGTTTCGGGTTTAGGGTTTAGGGTTCAGGGTTTAGGAGCTAGAGTTAGGGGCTTTAGCGCTTGAGGGTAGTCCTTCCACCCCGACGCCCAGCAACTCCGAAGTCCTCACCCACCCCAAACCCCAAACCCCAAACCCCAAACCCCAAACCCCAAACCCCAAACCCCAAACCCCAAACCCCAAACCCTAAACCCTAAACCCTAAACCCTAAACCCTAAACCCTAAACCCTAAACCCTAAACCCTAAACCCTAAACCCTAAACCCTAAACCCTAAACCCTAAACCCTAAACCCTAAACCCTAACCCTAGCCCTAAACCCTAAAGCCCAAAATGGTTTCGGGGGGCGCCTTCCCTTAGTACTTATTAACCAAGTACAACTGTACTTAAAACCATATTGGGGCACTTAGAGGGGCGTATGAGTGGGGTATAAACCCTAAACCCTAAACCCTAAACCCTAAACCCTAAACCCTAAACCCTAAACCCTAAACCCTAAACCCTAAACCCTAAACCCTAAACCCTAACCCTAAACCCTAAACCCTAAACCCTAAACCTAAACCCTAAACCCTAAACCCTAAACCCTAAACCCTAAAACCCTAAACCTAACCCTAAACCTAAACCCTAAACCCTAAACTAAACCCTAAACCCTAAACCCTAAACCCTAAACCCTAAACCCTAAACCCTAAACCCTAAACCCTAAACCCTAAACCCTAAACCCTAAACCCTAAACCCTAAACCCTAAACCCATAAACCCTAAACCCTAAACCCTAAACCCTAAACCCTAAACCCTAAACCCTAAACCCTAAACCCTAAACCCTAAACCCTAAACCCTAAACCCTAAACCCTATCCAAGTGATCCAGGTGCCGAATCCGAAGTGGATGCCGCCATCTCGGTCCTGCTGGACATGGGCCAGTCCTCCTCTGGGCTGCGCGAGGCGGGGGAATTGAGGGGGTGCTTTCAAGGGTTTCAGGGTTTTAGGGGTTGGGGCTAGCCCTAAACCCTTAACCCTAAACAAAAGCCTAAACCCTAAACCCTAAACCCTAAACCCTAAACCCTAAACCCTAAACCCTAAACCCTAAACCCTAAACCCTAAACCCTAAACCCCAAACCCTAAACCCCGAACCCCGAAACCCTTAACCCTAAACCCTCCTGGAGGGTTTGCGGGGGTTTTAGGGATTTAGGGGTTTAGGGATTCGGGGTTTTGGGGTCTGGGATTCGGGATTTTGGGGTTTAGGGACCTAGGTCCTAGGTGTTTAGGGACTGGATGGTCTTAGACACTTGGGGTTTAGGGTTTTGGGTTTAGGGTTTTGGGTTTAGGGTTTTGGGTTTAGGGCTTCGGGGTTAACAAGCCCCTATCAAGGCGCCAATAGGCTTAGGGTTTAGAGTTGAGGATTTAGGGTTGAGGGTTTCGGGCTTAGGTATATTCTGTTTTGGTGACCAGCCCACTGCATCGGCTTTGAAGGCTCTCTCGGAAAACTCAGGCCATTCGCTTGGTTAGTTAGCACACAACAATGTATGTCAGTTGGCCTATACTTCCAGGGGCTTCATGATTACTACTAGAACCTTTGAAGACGCCATACTCCGGTTCCTGGAAGTATAGGGTCTCCCCAGGCACACCCTAAACCCTAAGCCCCTCAACCCTAAACCCTAAACCCTAAACCCTAAACCCTAAACCCTAAACCCTAAACCCTAAACCCAAGCAATCACATAGCACTTCTGTGAGGGTAAGGCTTTCGACCAGCAAAAGCGGGGCTCGGGCTCGGGTCGATCTTCGATGACGTGGGCATATGAAGGACGACGAAGGAAATGCATGTAAACGCAGCGTATATGTACTTCCCAGACCCCTGGGAGGATCCAAAAAATAGAACCCCCCAAATACTACCCTATACTACTATTGGGTTATTCTTAGGAACACTTCAGGGGTCTTTGTGTTGGATCCTCCCAGGGGTCTGGGTTGTTGTGTACATATGTATAGACATACACATGTATTATGCGGACTTGAGGCTACTCACCCAGTAACCCCGAAGTCCCACCCTAAACCCTAACCCCTAAACCCTAAGCCCTACCCCTGAAACCCTAAACCCTAAACCCTAAACCTTCAACCCTAAACCTTCAACCCTAAACCCTAAACCCTAAACCCTAAACCCGAAACCCGAAACCCTAGACCCTAAACCCTAAACCCAAACCCCCTCCTTAAACCCCAAACCCTCAACCCTCAACCCTAAACCCAAAACCCTAATCCCAAACCCTAAACCCTCCTTAAACCCCAAACCCTCAACCCTCAACCCTAAACCCTGAACCCTGAACCCTGAACCCTGAACCCTGAACCCTAAACCCTAAACCCTAAACCCTAAACCCTAAACCCTAACCCCTAAACCCTAAACCCTAAACCCTAAACCCTAAACCCTACCGAAGTCTCTGGTAGGTCACCAAGTGCACCGGGCCCCTGGGAGATATTTCGACTTGGAGTCGGACGTTGTTCTTTGTCAGCCTGTGCCCCGTCTGGGGTTTAGGGTCTTTAGGGTTTAGGGTTTAGGGTTTAGGGTTTAGGGTCTAGGGTGCAGGGTTTGTGCTTTAGGGTTGAGGGCCTAGGCTCTACTGTCTAAGGGTTCAGGGTTTAGGGTTTAGGGTTTAGGGTTTAGGGTACGTGTATTGTGGGAGGTGCAGGTCAGCGCGATCCGAGGGGGTGTAAGGCTTCGGATTTGGGAGTTGTAGGATTTGGGTCTAGGGTTCGGGTCTTTTTGGCTTGCGCCACCCCGCGCTACTATCTACCTCCAACCTACCCCATAACCAGGCCCGACGTAAGAAGGTTTACGGCTCTTTCGGCCTTATTGGTAGCAAAACCTAAACCCTAAACCCATGGATCCCGCCGTGTTGGGCCTTTCGGGGTATCTCAGGGTTTCTGGGGGGGTTCGAGGAGCCTTCAGGGTTCAGTGTTTAGGGTTCAGGGATTATGGTTGGGTTCCAGGCATACGCAATCCTAGGGGCTAGGCATTCCCTTCTAATAAGCCCCCTAAACTCGAACCTTAAATTCTACACCTTAAGCCCTAAACTTATACACCTATAATAAGGACCCCCATAAGGAAACCCCATGCTTTGGGAAACCCTAAACCTTAAACCCTAAACCCTAAACCCTAAACCGTAAACCCTAAACCCTAAACCCTAAACCCGAAACCCTAAACCCTAAACCCTGAACCCTGAACCCTGAACCCTGAACCCTGAACCCTGAACCCTGAACCCTGAACCCTACACCCTAAACCCTAAACCCTAAACCCTAACCCTAAACCCTAAACCCTAAACCCTAAACCCTAAACCCTAAACCCTAAACCCTAAACCCTAAACCCTAAACCCTAAACCCTAAACCCTAAACCCTAAACCCTAAACCCTAGGGTTAATGTGCATCCTCAACCCTACAAGTCCCAGGCAGAGGTTGGAGGCTTCGGCTCGGGAATCTCGAAAGTCTTCACCCTAAACCCCGAACCTGAAACCCTAGGGGGGGTTTAGGGTTTAGGGTTTAGGGTTTAGGGGCTCAGGTATTAGGGGTTTAGGGTTTAGGGTTTAGGGCTCAGGGTTTAGGGTTTAGTGTTTAGGGCTTAGTTTCACTGGACCCTAAACCCCGATGCCAGGAACTGGTGGATCATCAATGCCAACCAGCTTTGGAGTGGCCGCGTGCTTCGGAACGCGCCGGGGTCGGATTTCGCAGTAACGTTTCACGCGACGTTGTGTGGAGGAAACGTCTTAAGGAAGGGTTTGGGGGTTCAGGGTTCAGGAGGGCTTAAGGGCTAAAGCGTTTCGGGGTTTTAGCGTACATGTGCTCTGACTGACCATTTTTCCGGAGGCAGACCAGCCCTGAATGTCAGGACCCCAGGCACATGCCCGACTGGCTGCGCCCCGTTGTGTTCAGCGCCGCTCTCCTTGAGTGCGTCGCCTTTCTGATCATGTTCGTCCTCTTCCCTCCGCATCGGAAGGCCTTTGCGGAGAGGAGCCAGATCCTGATCGTCCTCTTCCTGGTGGTCGCCAATGCTGCGTCCTTCCAGGGGCCTGACTACGAGTATGCCTACACCTTCCTCCTGAACCCCCTGATCCTCGCCCTGTCTGCAGCCGGCCCCGTCTTCGTCGCCCGGGTGCCCCTGCTGGGCGTTCCGCTGGTGCGAGCCCTCTTTGGCCGCAATCCCCTCCGAGCTGCCGAGCTCCAGAGCCCTCCAAGGGCTCCCAAGACGGAGGAGGAACAGGAGCCCTGTGTAACCTTCAGCCTCTAAGGGGCTACTTCTCGAGGCTCCTATGATAGTACCTTTTGTGAGGGTCTTAGTACTCTACTCCACATAAGAAACCCAAGAGAGGAACTACGTGAGAGCCTGCAGGGTGTGAAGGATCCTTGCTGCAGCTTTTCCAGCCTTCCCCGAATGGGGAGGGCCATGACAGATCCTGCGGGAAGGCTAAAACCAAAGGGGCCGCAGCACGCGTGCCAGGTACCCCATCAGACGACCTGCGGAGCGATTGTGAGTGAGGATTTAGGGTATATAAGGTTGTATAGGGCTGATAGGGTTTATAGGGCTTATAGGGTTTATACGCCCCGCCCTTTCCACGTAGTCGACCCCCCCCCCACCCCCCCACTGGTATCCCCCCCTGCATGGTATCTCCCCAAACCCTTCCCGTTAACCCCAGGAACACCACGAACCACAGGGGGGGAGGGAGAAACCCTCAACCTAAACTCCAAACCCTGATAACCCTAAGCCCCGGGGGAAACCTCCGAACCTCTAGCTTCAAGAAGCAAGAAAGGGGTTAAGGGCGCAGGTGTTTCAGGGTTTTAGGATGGAAGCGCGTTGTGGGAAAGCCGCCGCTCTCCTTGTGTGCGTCGCCTTTCTGACCATGTTCGTCCTCTTCCCTCCGCATCGGAAGGCCTTTGAGAAGAGAGGAGCCAGATCTTGCTTGTGATCTTCATTGTGATCTCTGTTGCCGGACCCTGGGCAGAGAGCTTCCGGAGTGTTCACTTGGAGTATGCAACCGCCTTCGCCCTCAACCCTCTGGTCCTCTTCCTGTCCGCATGCGGCCCAGCACTCGTGGCCCGGGTGCCCCTGGAGCCCTAAACCCTAAACCCTAAACCCTAAACCCTAAACCCTAAACCCTAAACCCTAAACCCTAAACCCTAAACCCTAAACCCTAAACCCTAAACCCTAAACCCTAAACCCTAAACCCTAAACCCTAAACCGTTCAGAGCTGCTCAGCGCCGGAGCCCTCCAAAAATGGAGGCCGCGCCCGAGGAGGACGCAAGCTTCAGCATCTAAGGGGCCCGAAAAGGACAAAGGATCCTTAAATTCCCAGTTTTGACTAGGGGGCCCATGAAGGGTGTTTGAGCTTTTGAGGCAGTTTTCCGGCCTTCCCCAAAAAAAGGGGAACGGCAGTGCCCCAAACCCCAAACCCCAAACCCCAAGCCCCAAACCCCAAACCCTAAACCCTAAACCCTAAACCCTGAACCCTAAACCCTGAACACCCTGAACCCTAAACCCTAAACCCTAAACCCTCCAACCCAAGCCCTAAAGCCCTAAACCCTAAACCCTAAACCCTAAAAGCTAAACCCTAAACCCTAAAACCCGAAACCCTAGACATGTTTTGCGGGAACCAAAAAAGGGGCCGCATACTTGCTCATATCACAGCCGCCCTTGACGTCATGATTGGGGACCATAGGCAGCCCGCTGGCGGTTCGAGCTTGTTGACACCCATCATGTGAGCAGGTTGTTTGCAAGTGGGGGCGGGGGGCTGCGCCCCCCCCCCCCCCCCCCCCCCCCCCGCTTCTTTTAAGCCGCACCAAGCGTGCTTCAAAGCCCAAGAAACTCCACGCAACGGAAATGTAGAAGCCATACTACATGAGCTTTTACATCCGGATAGCCACTGTTGATCTCAAGAGTGCGCTTTAAAGTTCCTGCAGCTTCCGCTCATGCAGTGCCCCCTCGCTCAGCAATGGGGTACCAGGCCTGGCTACCGCGCCGTAAGAGCGCGCTGGGAGGTTTTAGTGCAGGCACTCGCCGTGTGTATTGGCGACGTGTCCTCAGTTTGGGTTTCAGACTTTTCCCAGGAAAGGCCAGGGACAGATGCGATCCTAAGTGAGGCCCTGAGCGCAAAGGAAGAGCTGCGGAAGGCTGCGGCCCAGAGCGGTGCGTTCCCGCCCAAAACAGCAAGCATAGTGGAGCCCTACCACACCAACCTCATCAGCAAGCTGCTCGCCGTTGTCGCTGCTTTTCTTTCCCTGCCCTACCTGGCATACATTTGGTGTCATCGGCGTCAGGGCATGCTCTGCTTCGGCACCTTCTTCTTCATGGGAGAGGTCTCGAATGTGATTCTGGGTTTCATCAATCGAGCAGTCATGTGGCACCGACAGGTACGGCACGTTTGTCGACTCGATGCCCTCACTCCGCCGTTCCCAAAATCTGAGTGGCCGAAGGTGCACATACTCTTCACCCACTTTGCGGAACCGGTGCAGGACTCGGAGGAGCCGCTGCGGTGTGCACTGCTGCTCGACTATCCAGTGGAGCTCCTGGCGGTTCACCTCCTAGACGATGGCTATTACAAGAGAGTCGACGGCAAGGACTGCTGGGAGGTGACCAGGCCGCAAGAACATGCTAGCACAACAGACTGACCTAGGCAGCTGCGGCGCGCAACATGGCCACGGTTCGCTCGCTGACTTCTGAGGTCACTAGTGCTGGTCTGCAGATGGAGGCCATGATCGGTGCTCTTCTGAAGCGCATTGTGCCGACAGGGAGTGAGGTGGGGATTGATTTAAATGGGGATTGATCTACATTCTAGATTATGGGCCCTTTATGGTACCCTAAACTAGACAGAATCTACAAACGCATTGTGCCGACAGGGAGTGAGGTGGGCATTGATCTATATTCTAGATTATGGGCCCTTTATGGTACCCTAAACCATAAATAAAAAAAATCGAGTCCCTAAACTAGAAGAATCTACGACACTGGAGACCCTAAGCAAAAAGGAAGATACTGACCCTTACTATAGGGAATGTACCCAAAACTATGAGGAATATACCATATGCTAGAAAATACACCCCAAAAGGGCCGAAACCCCAAACCCCAAACCCCAAACCCTTGATCGACCTGCAGGTGGCCATCACCAAGCGCGATGTGGCCCCAGGTTCCATGCCAGACTACCGCCATGAGGTGGGGGTTGATAAAAGTTGGTTTAGGGTTTAGGGTTTAGGGTTTAGGGTTTAGGGTTTAGGGTCTAGGAGTAGGCGTGGCGGATACACGTAGGGTTTAGGGTTGAGTTGGATAAAGTCATAAGGGGCCCTTTTGGATACCCCAAAAATGGAGACCCTAAGCTACAAGGAAGATACTGAAATGGAGACCCCAAACAGGGCCCTAAACCCTAAACCCTAAACCCTAAACCCTAAACCCTAAACCCTAAACCCTAAACCCTAAACCCTAAACCCTAAACCCTAAACCCTAAACCCCAAACCCCAAACCCCAAACCCTAAACCCTAAGCCCTAAACCCTAACCCTAAACCCTAAACCCCCAGGTGGCGCCTGGAGGGTCCACTGTTGTTGAGTTCCAGGCGCCAGGTTTGCCTTTGGTCAGGCTCGTCGGCCGTAAGAAGGGCGCTGACACGTACATGAAGACCGGGAATCTGGAGAATGCGCTTTGGAACATCATGGAGCGCGAGGTGAATTTCGCGATGCTGCTTGATACCGACATGGCCCCATTCCCCGAGATGATTCAGATGCAGCTAGCCCCTCTCCTGGAGTACCGCAATGGACACTAGGTGGCACTTTACTACAGCTTTAGCACTTTATGACTTGTGGTGTTCCTCTATTTCCTATTGAGGAAGCTAAAAGTTGAAACTTTTATTTGGGGATTCCCAAAAACCCAAACCCTCACCCTAAACCCTATAAGCTGAAGACCTGGCGTGCCGAAAGGGCCGCAGGTCCTGGACCGGAAGCTCCACGCGGCTTTGCAAAAGCCGCCTCTGTCAGCCCTAATAAAGATGGCCCTATCTGCGGCAAACTGCCAGGCATGCCTGAAAACCTCCCCTTTGGGTTTAGGACCTATATAAATTTAGGCTCGGAGGCTGAAGGGCTTGGGGCCGAAGATTAAGGCCGGGGGGCTTAAACTGAGGGTTTCGGACCTAAAGCTAAGGCCTGGAGGCTTATGAAACTAAGGGCCTGGGACCTTAAAATTAGGGCCCGGAGGCTTAAATTAAGGATTTGAGACTGTAGGCCTCAACGTTGCGGGCAGGCCCGAAATTCTCCCCTCTGACCGGCTGTAAATCACAGTTTGGGACCTAAACTTAAGGCCCGGAGGCTTCATGAAGGAATTGGGGGACTGAAAATCACAGCCGGTAGGCTTAAACCAAGGGTTTGGGGCCTAAAGTTAAGGCCCGCAGGGTTAAACTAAGGGCGCCTAAAAATAAGGGCCCGGAGGCTTTTCAAGTATGGATTTGGGACCGAAAAAAGGCTCGCTTAAATTCTTGGATTTGGGACCTAAAATGAGGGCCCAGGAAGAGGCTAAAGTCAAGGGCTTGGGACCTACGGGTTAGGGGCTTTAAACGAACCTACCGCTTTTGCCGACACCAAGCCGGAGAAGGGCCACCCGCGACTGCGCCACCGAGCCATATTCCTCCAAACCCTTGATAGGGGGGTATCGGGGGGTTAGACAACCCTAAACCCGTCCAAGGTTTGTAGTTTCGGTGGGAGGGTGGGCATTGCAGCTCGTGCGCCGACCCGAAAGCGCACTCGCAGCGAAAACCCAAACCCCAAACCTTAAGCCCTATGAGCCCTAGACTTCAAACCCTAAGGACACTGGTGCCCGGACTGGCGCACAGCCTTCACTTCCAGCCCGCAGGCCTTCACCAACATCGATTCAGTGTGGGGATCGCATGACCCTATGAACCAGCTGAACAAGTTCTTCTGGCGCCCTGGATAGTGAGAAAGTGGTTCGGGAGCTGTTTGCTACAGTTGATCGAAAACCAGGGGCCTGTTTTTCGAAACCGAATCTAGACATTCTAGGCGGGTCCTGCCCGCCGCGCTAGACAGCTTCGGGCTGGTTCAGTTCTGGGGCACGAATGCACTTTTCTTTGTGCCCGCCTTGCGTGACTCTGGTGGCTTTGTGTACGGTTGCATGACGGAGGACACCGTCACAGGAGCACAAATGCGGGTCGATCCAAACTATGGGCCCTTCTTGGGACCCTAAGCTAGAAGGGGCACACTAGAATGTAGACCCCAAAAGGGCACCCAGGGCCCATATTGTTGAGGAGCACAAATACACCGCCTTGGCTGGCGCTCGCGCGTGGTGGGTGGCAACACGCTGACGCTGGCAAGAGGCCTTTGCCGTGAGACTGTGACTGGGTATACGCCCTTGGGATAAATTTTCCTTTATTGGGTTTAGGGTTTATAGGGTTTATAGGGTTTGTAGGGTTTATAGGGTTTATAGGGTTTATAGGGTTTATAGGGTTTATAGGGTTTATAGGGTTTATAGGGTTTATAGGGTTTATAGGGTTTATAGGGTTTAACAGTTTATAGGGTTTATAGGGTTTATAGGGTTTATAGGGTTTATAGGGTTTATAGGGTTTATAGGGTTTATAGGGTTTATAGGGTTTACGGATGTTTCATGTTGTCCCTTGTTGGGTTTGAATAATCTTCCGGTCCCTAGGGCCAACCTAGGTGACTGAAACCTTTGATCAACGGAAGCGCTGGTGCCAGGGAAACGTGCAGCAGCTTCTCATGGAGTGGGACAGGGCGGCGAATCATGGGATGGTAGTTGGCTAGGCTCTCTTATGGACATGTCCTTTGTTAATTGTGGATCAGAAGCTTCTGAACCCCCTATACCCTGAACCCTAAACCCTCAAGTCGACCTGGGCTCCGGGTCTCTCAGGACCCCCCATGGTTGCTGCACAATAAGTTCCGCTTTGCCCCCCAGCGGCGCCAGTACTGGGCCCGCGTGGCGCATCTTGCTGACGCTTGCTGTTGGTTAGAAGGGAATGGGGGAATAAGGTACCATTATATTAGGGGGGAATATATGGTATCTTATTCCCCCAGTCCCTACCAACAGCATAAGGACGGTGACAGCCGGGGCGATGTCCCGAAACCCCTGGCGCCAGACGACTCAGGGGCTGTGGCGCGCCAGAGACGGCGAAGGCCCATGTGGAAGCTGCACCGGGAGTTGGCGTATTTTAGTACGAAGCATGCTGTGCTTTTCCATGCGCAGCCCATCTACTACTACTTTGTGACACTTCTCACCGTCCTTTTCGGGAAGACGCCCATGGTGATGGAGGAACATGCCAATACCGCGGTGCTTTTCTGGGTCGTCAGTGGCCTGGCCAACTTCTTCTCCTACTCCGCCGCTTTGAGCGACCCCAATGCCAACAACGCCCTATGGGGCACGCTCCAGGAGTTTTGGGGCTTTGCCTGGGTCAAGCACCTGGGCTCGCTGAACTCAGAAGATAACCCGCTAGAGAAATGCAACCGAAACACATGTTTTTTTTTCAGGGGTGCTGTCTTGATTCTTAAAAGCGGCCCTCTGAAGCAAGTGCAAGGCTCCTCGGAATCATTGAGGGTGCTCTGGCAGCTGTGCAAGGTAAGCAGCCCCAGTGGAGGGCCTTCGGCATGGCGGGGGACGTGAACCTGCTCTACGTGCTGCCCAATGCCCTTGCCTTCCTTACCCTCCTCTCCGCGATGATCTCAGTCACTGTCAGCTACTGCCTGGACGTGCAGGGCATCGGCGGCTTGTCCTTTCTGCCACAGCAGGCGACTACGACGCCCCCGCAGCTTGCCGGTTGTATGGTGGCGGGCTTTTGTGTCTTAGTGCTCTTGTGGCCTGTCACCCGGTGCATCTTTGCTGACCTTCTTGGAGTCCCATACTACCAGATGGCTGCCATCGAGTCAACCTTCATCGCAGCAACTTTTCAAGTCGGGATTGGCATCATACTCTTCTTATCTAGCCGGACCATCCCGGAGCAGTGACTTCTCACCGCGACCTAGAAATACCCTGAGTGTCGGCACACTTAGGGGTTGACAGACCCCCCCTTCGAGTTGTATATAGTCAGAGTGCGACAGCTTGTCGCGTCTCTGTGTGCTTTATTCGAAAACCGGATGTTGAGTGTCCAGTTCTACTCCGTTTAACTCCTATTCTGAACGTCGCAGGTAGGGTTCAGGGACCGAGTTTTGATGTTAGCCAAAGCTTCGTCTTGTGCTAAAGGAATGAGGGTTCTTCGTCGCGTACATGTCGTCTGAACATCCATAACCCTAAACCCTAAACCCTAAACCCTGAACCCTGAACCCTGAACCCTAAACCCTAAGCATCCCTAAACATACCGACACCCACCCACGACATGAACCCCATGAGCCCTGGACACGAGCTGCCAGGTTAGAATCGCTTGCTGGGTTTAGGGTTTAGGGTTTAGGGTTTAGGGTTTAGGGTTTAGGGTTTAGGGTTTAGGAATGCAGATGTCAGCATAGCCATGGCGCTTCGGGCGCCGTTGGGTGCCCTGCTGCATGTGCGTGGAGCCCTGGAGGGCTTCTGCCTCCCCCAAACCCTAAACCCTAAACCCTAAATCCTAAACCCTAAACCCTAAACCCTAAACCTTAAACCCCTAAGACCCCTAAGGGCCCCAAGGGCCCGAAGCTAAAAGCCTTCAGCGAGTTTGGGTTTAGGGTTTGGGGTTTGGGGTTTAGGGTTTAGGGTTTGGGGTTTGGGGTTTAGGGTTTAGGGTTTGGGGTTTGGGGTTTAGGGTTTGGGGTTTGGGGCTTAGGGTTTGGGGTTTAAGGTTCGGGGTTGGGGTTAGGGGCGAGGGGGCCCAGGATGCAAGGTGGGTTTATGAGCGTCTGACGGCACGCCAGGCCGAGACTACCTAAAGCCTAAACCCAAAACCCTCAGCCCTAAGCCCTAAACCCTAAACCCCCAGCAGCCCTTGACAGCCCCCAGCCCTGAGCCCTAAAGCCCCTAAACCAACAGCCCAAGAACCACACAAACCCCAAGTCCTAAAGCCCACCTGGAACCCGGAACCCGAAACCCTAAGCCCTAAACCCCAAACCCCAAGCCCTAAACCCTCAACCCTAAACCCTAAACCCTAAACCCTAAACCCTAAACCCTAAACCAGCTGGCAGCCCGAAGCCTGGGCCTCCACAAGAGATGCGACCGTTCCGCTCCCAGGTTGGCCATCTTCAAGGCAGCCCAGGCAGAGCATAGGGTTTAGGGTTTAGGGTTTAGGGTTTAGGGGTTAGGGGTTTAGGGTTTAGGGTTTACGCCTTCGTAATAAGGACCCCCCCCAAAAAAACTACAGTTTCGAGAAGTGGCCTAATGTCCCTCGACTTTTGGGGGTGGGTCGGGATGGGCAGTATGTTCCCGATTGGAGTCCTGGGACAGGTTCCGGATTTCACACCTGCAGTGTGGATAGGGGCATAAACCCTACACCCTCCTAAACCCTCAGCCCTAAACCCTCAACCCTAAACCCTAAACCCTAAACCCTAAACCTCAGGGGCTCCACGGTCGCCGTAGGTTTTCGATAAGGCCCAGCACCCTTAGCACCCTTAGCACCCTCAGCACCCTCAGCATCCTCAGCACCCTCAACCCTAAACCCTAAACCCTAAACCCTAAACCCTCAACTTTCAATCCCAAGCCGTAAACCCTAAACAGCTGAACCCCAAACCCTAAAACCCTAAACCCCAAACCCCAGACGCCAAAACCTTAAACCCAAAAGCCCAAACCGTAAACCCTGAGACTACCTAAACCCTAAACCCTAAACCCTAAACCCTAAACCCTAAACCCTAAACCCTAAACCCTAAACCCTAAACCCCAAACCCCAAACCCCAAACCCCAAAACCTTAGCCCCAAATCGCCAGGCGGCCACGCTGAATTGGACGCAAATGGCAGAGGGGAGCTCCGCCCCGGAAGCCCGCGAAGGGCACAGCCTGCTTGTGGACGGACAAGGCGCGATTTAGGGTTTAGGGTTTAGGGTTTAGGGTTTAGGGTTTAGGGTTTAGGGTTTAGGCTTCCTGGCTTTTAGGGAAGTCGGCTCGTCCCTTGAAAGCGTTTATAGGTGGGGTTGTGCTAAGCCAAACCCTCAAGCCTAATCCCTCAACCCGAAGCCTCAAACCCTCAACGCCCCAAACTCCAGGCCTCAGCCCTTATACCCTGAGCCCTTTTAGGCACGATCACCTGAATCGAACCCTAACCCTAAATCCTAAACCCAAAACCCTAAACCCTAAGCCTAAACCCTGAACCCTAAACCCAACACACCCCCAAAACACCTGGGCCCAGTCAGGGGGTTGGTTCCCAAGCCCCAAACCCAAAACCCAAACCCCCGAAACCCACACCCCAAACCCCAAACCCCAAACGCCAAAGCCTAAACCCTAAACCCTAAACCCCAAAACCCAAACCCCAAACCCCAAACCCCAAACCCGAAACCCCAAACCCTAAACCCCAAACCCTAAGCCCTAAACCCTAAACCCTAAACCCCAAACCCTAAACCCTCAATGGCCCTGCTTCAAGGTGACCTTCTTGTCTTGGGCGGACAGGCCAGCAGCGGCGTGAGCCCCAGACGGTGCCAGGGAGGGGCCGCCACTCTGTTCAGGGTTTAGGGTTTAGGGTTTAGGGTTTAGGGTTTGGCAGAAGGGGTTCAGGGTTTAGGGTTTAGGGTTTGGAGTTTGGGGTTCAGGCTTCAGGGATGTAGGGTTTGGGGTTTAGGGTTTAGGGTTCAGGGATTTAGGTTTTGACTTGGGCCTAGGGTTTAGGGGTTTTTTCGGGGTTTTGGGTTTAGGGTTTCAGGGTTCATATGGGGCGAAGGGTAGGGGTTTTGGCTTCGAGCTTTTAGCTTTTGGTGGCTTAAGGTTTTGGGTTTAGAGTCTTTTACACGGGGTAGCTTGTTGATTTTTCCTTTGTTGTGCATGTGCACAATCCCCACGCCACGAACCTGAACCGAAATCCACGTTTCTGGGGGTCCTTGCGCTTCTGTCGCCTGCTGCGGCCGTCTCTACGAAGCAAGACGCATGTACTGACAGCAGCGGGTGTCATCGTGACTAGACTCACTAGACCCGACATAGCTTGTCAGAAAAAAAAACCCTAAGCCCTAAACTCCTAAACCCTAAACCCTAAACCCTAAACCCGAAACCCTAAGCGGAAACCCTAAACTCTAGGAGCTTAGAGGTTAAGTTGTTGCTTTCGGACCCCGAAACTCTTATGCCCAAATGGTGGAAGCATCCCAAAGAGAGCCCAGGTTATCTCGGCGACATGCGGTTGTTCGACGACAAGGCATGCCTGAACCCCAACCGAACAACCCTAAACCCTAAACCCTAAACCCTAAACCCTAAACCCTAAACCCTAAACCCTAAACCCTGAACCCCTACACAACCCTAAAAAAAGCGCTGAAACCCGTAAACTCTAAAATGCGAACCCTTAGCCTTACACCCTTAAACTCTATAACCCCTCAAGTCCACCCTAAAACCCTAGAGCGCTAAACCTGTGCACCTTGCTGTCTTGCCCGAAGCCCTGTGAGGCTTACGAAGCCCCAACGCCCCATGCTAGGGAGCTCAGGGTTTGAGGGCTATGGGTTTACAAGGGTTCGAGGAGTACTTGCAGAAAAACAGTGTTCTTGAGCCGAACTGTATGGGTTTTCCTGACGAGAGTTCTCGTTTAAGGAGTTGGCCTTTGCGGTTGGGGAGGTGACCAAGAGCGTTGCCAAACCGCGCTCGCGAAACGTTCGCACGCATTCGCAAGTGTTGCAGTGTGCTCGTGTCATGTGATCGTGTCATGTGCCTTCGTGTGGTGTCCTCACGTCGTATTTTCGTGGTGTGGTGTTTGTCTCGCGTCTTGGTGTCGCATCCTCGTCGTGTCGTGTCATTGTGTCGCGTCTTCACATCATGTCTTCTCGTCGCATCTTGCGACGTCCTAAACCTTAAATCCTACACCCCATCAGCCCTAAACCCTAAACCCTAAACCCTAAACCCTAAACCCTAAACCCTAAACCCTAAACCCTAAACCCTAAACCCTAAACCCTAAACCCTAAACCCTAAACCCTAAACCCTAAACCCTAAACCCTAAACCCTAAACCCCCTGGCCCTCGAAGCAAGAACAAGGCGCCATAGACTTCCTGGAACTGACGGGTTCTGAAAAAGCAAGTTTGGCAAGACGGGCCCCTCGTCCCTGAAAGTTCTTTAACATTTAACTCCAGACCAAGAACCAGTTTAGGGTTAAGGAGCTAAGGAGGTTTTGGAGGGTTTGGAGGTTCAGGAGGTTCAGGGTTTAGTGGCGGTTCTTTTCTGGCAGGACGCTTCTAATGTTCTCATCCAGACCTTAGACCCTAGACCCTAAACTAAACCCCGAACCCCGAACCCCAAACCCCAAACCCCAAACCCCAAACCCTAAACCCCAAACCCCAAACCCCAAACCCTAAACCCTAAACCCTAAACCCTAAACCCTAATCTCTAAACCCAAAGCCTTTTCACTTTTTTGGGGCATGGAGTGCTCGGGGAGACTCTGCGAGGGGGCCCTTGGCTTGGCAGAGAATGTAAGTATAAATACAACATTTTAAACAAAGCAATAACTAAAAGGATATACAAATATGTATGTATATATATATATACAAATACATATATATATATGTATATGTATATGTATATGTATATGTATATGTATATGTATATGTATATGTATATGTATATGTATATGTATATGTATATGTATATGTATATGTACATTATCCTGAATGCAGGGCAAGGCCGAGCTGTGTCCCAAAAGTCTCAAGTGATCCCAACGTCCCAGGTGACAGCCCCCTGCGGCCACCCCTGGAAGTGTTCAAGTGATCTAGGGCTTAGGGCTTAGGGTTTAGGGTTCAGGGTTTAGGGACCGATGTGTCTCCATGAATGAAGTGTCCCCACTGTCAGTGCCCCCTCCCTCTCCCCAACTGACCCAAGTGACACACATGGTCAAAGTCTGTTGAGTGTCGCAAAGCAACCTATGTGACCCA